CGAAACATCCTTATCAAAAAAATCGAACGTACGAAGATGGACAAAAGTAGACTCGAGGGAAAATTATCGATATTTTAAATTGTTTGAACTTTGTAAAACAAAATCGTAACGACTCAGTTGGCTTTATTTTGAAACCTTTGAGTTCTTTTTTCCAAAGAATAAGGATACTCTTGTTGTCGGAAACAGTAGAAATGTAAACTCTTTCAAAATCACTGAAAGTTTTTTTTTTCATAGCTAGATCTACTACAGTCCTGAAAACTAAGATCTTTTCTTTACATCAAGTCCTTGAAACTTGCTGTACGATTTTTTCTTTCCTTTTGAAAATCGGAATTAAACGACGAAAGTTCAAAAAAATCCTAACATTTTACCATTTAATTCTGATATTGAAAGTTCAATAAAATGGCGAAAAAAAAATCGTACAAGTTTTAAGAGGTCATTGCACTTCAATCTTCAGGACCAGAGTAGATTTAATTCTCAGAAAATTTTTTTAACCTTTCCATGGGAAATGTTTTTATCATTTTTCGAGAACAAAAGTATCTTTTCACTTGCTACATGATATAAAAAAACGTCTTTAAAAGAGAACGAACGTAAAACACTGTTGAAAGAGGAGGTTTCACAGTTCAGAACGAGGTCAGCTGGATTGCTACACGACTTTTTTTTTTGTATTACAGTTTTTTGTAACAGACAATTTTTCATCGAGCGTGCGAATACTTTCGTCCATTGTGTGTGTTCACGCTACTAACACACACGAATCAACGCTCTTGTCTACGTTGGTGGAGTTAACGTTGCGAGCAGGGGAATCGTGAAATTCGAAATTTAACGGTAAGAATTATCGGACGCGACGCCGTGGTTACACGTCGTTCGAGTAGCGCGAATGAAAATTTAATTATCGTCCACGTCGCGAAAGCATTGCTACGTGGAACGATTTAAGAACCGACTGCTGCTCTTTGATTTTCTATGTAGCTCGTGCTCGCGCGCGTTCTGCCTTTTTCCCAGATTCCGCTTAATTGCGGGCAACGTTGTGACATCTACTTTGAAACGCCTTTCAGGGGGGGAAAAAAAAGAAAAAAAGAAAAAAAATATGCTCATTCATCGAGTGGCCCTTTGAACCTGTTCGCTTCCTTTTTCCGTCGGCGTTTGTCCGTAGCTTTGCCCGGTGAAAGGAGCCCCGGCAGCTTTATCGGATGATTTGCATCGAATCGTACACGGGCACGAAGTTGTAATTTCTCTTTACGCCGGATTAATCCGGCTTCAGTCGTAAATTTAACTCTTTCTGATACTAACGTGCTCGCATGCAGGCCGAGTTTAAGACTGGAAGCTGAAATATCAGTGAAAATATCAATTATACGGGAAAATATTTTAGAATGGTACGAAGAAGTTTCAAAGCATTGGCAGCACATAGTATTTGATCTCAACGTAATCTGGAAGTAAATTATAAAAGCGTGCTAATCTGCGTAATGTAGGAAAATCATTCGTTTGGTAGATAAGACATTTCGTGTCTTTTTGAAAAATTAAAATTAAGATATTTCCGAGGCTATTGATTTTACGATATGAGTAAATCTTTTTATTTCATTAAACGGAAAGTTTAATATTTTGTTTTACTTGCGTCCCAGATGGATTTACTTAAATTGTATTAAAAAAAAGAGATAAAACTAATCTGTATATTTGTTGTGAAGAAAAATGTAAAAAACCATTGTAAAACCATTTTTCACACGCTTTTATTTTTGAAATGTTATCGTCAATCATTCGTATTAGCAGTGTTTTTTTCTTTTTTTTTTTTAACAGCATGAACGTATATTCTATATAATATACTTACATACGTAAGTTTGCTATTTCTGTCGAAATAATAGTAAGAAATATAACTTTGGTCGTTTTACCTCATTAATTAAATTAGTTATTGCATAAGCGGATTAACAAAAGAGGCCACGAATTCAAAAATACGAGTCAAAGTGCGTACGAGTGGAGTATTGGAAAATTCAACAATTCAATCAATTACGTAAACTCAAATTTCTTTAAATTGTAACTCATACATCGAATCACACCCTTCTTCAAATAAAACAAATCACCCTTGAACAATTTCCCGACGTAATTAACAATTTCGAAATAATTACTTCAACTCGGTGTAAGCGGATGATTAAAATTTACTCAAGCGTCGTCACGGTATTATTGATCGAATCACCAAATCTACAAACGCACGTGTGTGACGTTTGGCCGATTAACGCGCGGAAATTTCGATCGAAGTTGACTTAAATCGGCCGCGACCGAAGGAACTCGCCCGCGGACCCGTGAATAGCCTAAAGCGAATGTCACTCGCAGGATCGGGCCGATGATGTAATAACCGGGGCTGAACTAAATTCAGATACGAGGTTGACTTCGATTCTCGCGAGGGAACTCCCGCGAGATTGCCGCTCATGCCGGCTCGTTTCCTTGCCCTTTACAAGGCCGTCTCTCGGCAACCATCGGTTAAATATCGGGCGCATCCATATTCGATGCGGTCTCGTTCTACACGCGCGAACGAACGCGTTCGTCGATCGCCGGAACCTGTGTTTCTTTTTACGATTTCTCGCCGGTTTTAACGTTCGCGTCTAACTGCGACTCGAGTGGCTGAAAGTATCGGTTAAATGGCATTTCGCGTGAGAAACGGGTGAAAATCACTTGGAATAACGCGCCTTCGTATATTTCCTAGCGGTATCGCGAAACAAACCAGTCACGATTTAAGTTGCTGCCGTTTGGTTAACGTGGTGTATATACCACGTGAACACGACACGTCGAGCCAACATCCATGTCATATCGACGTCGATAGGTTAGGCGTGCGGCGATATGTCACGCGTGTGTATCGGTACGTGGACCACCGTCGAACGTTTCCGATCCGGTGCACGAGGTGTTGAGCGAACGATCGCCTTCGACGCCTTGGCGCACGATCGGAGTTGGGGTGAAATTTGGAGAAGAAATATTTTATACGCTATTTTCGATCCTCGATAATTCACGATACTTCCATGTGGACATTGAACAGTCGAAACCAGGAAATATCAGTCCTCGAGCTTATAATTTTCGGCAATGTTATTCCAAGAGATGCGTTTACTTTGAAGTACGAAGTATAATAGATAAAATATCTCGTCTCTTACGACGAACTCTTTGCAACGAACTTTTTGTAAAAAAAGGAGAAATTAAAGGGGATATATATGTACTTATATTGAAATTTCGTCATTGAAACTGGATCCAATTCAAGATATTTGTGATCCAAATTAGGAAACCACTGTGGATTAAATCACTGATACTATTTTGGAAATATTTTTTGCAACCAACCACGTAATACTAAAAATTGCGATGCTGAAACTGTTCTCAAATTTTTGAAACTGTTTTCGAAATTCTGAACACGTTTTCCATTTATGGAGATATTTCCTTAAGTGATTCAGTATCCAAATATATCCGAGCTGTAAAGTAAAGTCTCGCTTTTTTGAACGGCGAAACGTGTTCGTAATTTTCTTTTTTTGCGTCGAATCTCGTGCGAATAGCATTTCGTGGCGAATGTCTACAATCATTCGCGGTAGCCAGAAGGTTGAACGGTTAGCTCGTTCGATCAACCGATCGAAAAAGTGCGTCAGCGAATTTCATCGCGTCCTTTAAATCCATCGCGACATATTCAATCTGTATGTCGTGGACCCGAGGATAAATGGAAAGTGTGCCGTCGCTCGAGGTCGCGCTGCGGTTGGCAGTTTACCTGGCGTAAATCTGGGAATTGGATATCAAAAATGTAGCTAGAACTAAGTACGATTGAAATATTCAGTGCAAGAGTGAGGGAGAAAAGCAGACGGGAAGGGAGGAATTCGGGCTGACTGTTTCGGAGTAAACAGACGAGAAGCGAGTACAAGTGAATCGTATCCGCGCGAGAATGCGGTGTTTGTGCTCGTCTCTGAATACCGGCTTCGTTACCAGAGTGCCATGGAATATCCTCGATTAAGTCTGCTCGATTAAAATAAAGTACGCTCCGAGGTGGATCGCTCTCTCTCTCTCTCTCTCTCTCTCTCTCCCTACTTGTGACGAGCCGCGAAGATACTCACACTTGACGCGAAAATGAAGAGGCTCGCTCCGTGTTTCGTTCAGGTCATTCGTTGCGGCGCACACATACTTGCCAGCGCTGCTCCTAGTCACGCTCTGAAGCACCAGACTCTGATTCGACCAGATTATCCTGGCCGACGTGTTGTGCGCCAGTATCTGGTTCTGGAAACAAGAAATTTCGTTTTAAATAGCAAGCAGCTCTGGTTTGCGTCGGAACGCGTGTTTAAACTGTGTGTTGACTGTATGTTTGTATGTATGTGCGATCGATATGGATTAAGCGACGTCGCGGCGCTCGTTTATTTCAACAAACGAAAGAAAATGGCCCTCCTATTTGTTTCTATTTCTTTTGTTCGTTTTCTTTCTTTCTTTTTTTTTTTTGTTCTTTCAGAAAGGAGAACACTTCTTACAGTGAATAGGCATCTATCTGCATCGGCTTGGCAGCCCGACTTTCGATCCATTTCTTTTCTTGTTCGTGCTCGGACTAACGCCAGATTCCGAATCGCGATCTCGTTTCTTGTTACGTGGTTCGCCCCCACGTAGCGATAAATTAGAGATAAACATGCACCGAACTGCACCATTGTGCAAGTATTCCTCGCGATTGCATTGTCGGTCGTGTTATCATCTATCAGCACCTTTTCCCACTCGACGCGAATCGTCTGCGAATTTTTAGAAGCGATTACGTTCTTCAAGGGCAGGCAGAGTCAAGCCATTGGCGAGGAACGAGCGTTTTTATTGTTGTTATTGTTATCATTTCATTAAATATGCAAGATTCAATAAGGTAGAGAATATAAATAATATCTACATAATATAGTTGAGATATTGTA